AGTGTAGCTTTGAACAATCCTGAAGTGTGTTCCACCGGTAATATGTACGCTAAACTTGAAAGAAAACTCTTGGTAGTTAAAAGTAAAAATAACGGTTACATCAGAAAATTTCCTCTTACTTGTGGTTCAGATTTCTAGACATGACGCTGATTGATGGTTAATTGTTAGTTAGGTAGAGTGGTCATGATGTAATTTGCAGCACTGAAGAAACTATGGATATGCTGGATTTGCAGACCTTTTGTGGGAAATCCTGAAGAGCGTTTACCTGTTTTACTTTGTGCTAGTTTTTCTCTTTACAAAACTAATTCATGATCATGTTGTGTTAGGAAGGAAGAGGGGAAGCTTGCATCTACTTCATGCAAAAAAAAATGTTTAAGTGAAATAAAATGAATCGAGTTTTGCTTCTTTTCTGTAATCCTCCAGGTGGCAGTCTTGAATCAGTTAAGTATATAGCGGTTTTTTCTGGCATTGAGTCTTATATGCTGTCCTTGTGGTGGCAACAGATTCCTGCTTGAAGTGCTGCAGTATACTGCTGTCACTTGTAAAAATGCAGAATCGTGTGTGTAACTTGGATCTGAACTGGTTTCATAGGCTTGCACAGTCCTAAACTCAGGCATGGTGCATGCAACGGTATATTTATCTCTTCGGTTGGTAGTTATGAAAATAAGCCCATAGGTAGCTCGCTATGATGGAGTAGCATAGAAGTTTGCCTATGTAAATTTATTCAGCAGTACCATTTCAGCAGGCTGTGGTGTGTGCAGATCTGTTAGTGTCCCTGTAAAAATGGATGAGAATTATTTCAGTTGCAGACTTTGGTAGTTTTGTGTGTTCAGAAAGCTTTAATCACATCATTTTGCTATTGTAGGCAGGAGTTGAAATGGGGCATTAACCTACTCTCCTTTTGACTTTTATGGTCTAAGTTAAGTGGGAAGCTCATTCATGTTTTGTATTAGATTATTTATTCTACCCTGATTATGAAAACATTGGTGTGATGCAGTCTGTGTTCTTTATCAGACCCAGACTTTATGCTGGATCTGTAAATATGTGGGGTTTAAATTGAAGGGTTTTCTCTTGCCTTCTCCTGAAGAAAAGGCTGGTGTTTTTGTTTGGTTTCAATTTCACAGGGAAGGATTGTGTTAGAACTGGTCCTATCAAATAGCAGATACGCTTCATTTCAGGTTGCAAGCTGCTTCGTTCCTTGTCTTCACTTGCTCATTTATCTAGCGGAAACAAACTCCATGATGCTGGGACTGAATCTATTTCTTTTCCAGGTGTTGAATCTGAAACTCAGCATGTCGCTAGCTCTCAGAAAAGTGCCTTTTAAGCTGCAGATGCCCAAGTCTCTGCTCTTCGCCTCCTCAGTATGGAGGGATAAGTGCTGTTCCTGCTATCTGTTGTCTTTTTGTTGCTGTTCAAGGTTTCCACAGACTTCAAGCTTTGCATGCTCCTTTTACTGCTTGAGGAATGTTTTTGTGGAGAATCAGGTGATGTGACTTCTTACTTCATTAGTGAGTTAGTGGAGCAAATCAGGAACAGCCGAGGGGCATGGGTCTGACTCAGACTGGGCTGCAAGGAGCAGGTGTGGGGATGCTTGAAGGGACAGTCACAGTAGTTTAGCACTTGAGTAATGTGTGGTTACGGGCTGGCTCTGGACCTGTGTAAGCTTTGAGTATCACCAATTTCCAGGTGTATGATCTGATCTCTTCTTTTGGTGTCTTGGGGCACTGTAGCACCCTGGGAGGATCACAAATATTGAATAGCTGTGTGTTTGAGCTGCTAACACATCTCTCCATACCTTCTGTTGTCCAAATTTCATGTAAATATCCAAAGCTAACATGGAGAGCAGACTTCAGCTTTGCAAAGCTGAGAATCTGAGTTAGTTTCTAAAAATAGTCAGCAGATGACAATGTACCTTGGGAGGCACCACCTTATGAAGGAGGATATTTGGGTTGGCTTAGGGAAATGTTAGTGTTAGCGCTGAAGATTTGGCAGGCAGTACTTGAAGACACGAAACACTTCTCGGATATATTTTTGTATATCTTGAAAGCTAAATGTGAAGAACCAAAAGCCTGTTTATTTCACATTTGAAGTAGAGGGGAAAAACGGAAAAGGTCAAGAAATGTAAAAATCTCAGTTAAGCTGGGATGTTAATTTGGTTGTGCCTAGTGATTGCTGTTCCTTTCCTTTGTACTTTTTAAATGATCAACTTTGTAGGGATTTTTTGCCTTTATATGAATTTGATGACTTCACAGGTTTTTGTAAGAGTTTGGGTATTTTTTTATTACCCAGCTGAACAATTACATTAATGAGTTTGGTTTGTGTTCTGCTTGTAGAGATTAAAGCCAATGGTTGGCCTGCATAGTCAATGGCAACAGTAGTTTGCAGTTCTGAGAGTAAGAGCTCAACAGACCAGTTTTCTGTCAGTTTGCAAAGCCAGGTGCTAATTAAAGATGTACAGTCTTTCCAGTTAACTCTCTGAGAAATGGATATACATCAATTGTGACAGCAGAATTTGCCTTTTGGATAGCTCCACCAGTATCTGCTGCAGACTTCATAGCTTGGAGAGAAATAACTTTTAAGTAACTTTTACGTACAATATTATATCTTGATGTCTAATGAAAAGAATCGTAACAAAAATACTGAAATGTCAGCTTAATTTTATTTTGGTTGTATTCCTTCTGGACTTTAGCTTCTGAGTAAATTAAACTATTTTGTTAATAGTATTGTTTTCTACCACTGTAAGATTGTTTTTGCAAGCTTTTTAGTAATAACACTGAAACTTGTGAGAGAGTAATGTAGCTCTTTTGGCAATGATAGTCCAATAGAGTTCAATATTTTTGTATATTCAAACATAGATGGGACTGAAAAGTGGAGCCTTTGTGTGCAGGAGGGGGCAATGGTGCCTTTGACGCAAGTGCTGGATGAGCCTGCTACCTTCAGCCTGCCCTGCTGTGTGTTCCTGCTCTGCCTTGCGGTTTATAGCTTCCTCTACTGTACTGATGTTTGAGTATGTGCTCTCCTGCTGCAA